TAGATAAATCTCATTTGAATACAACTTCAGTTAGTCGGCTGAAAATCGTTGCTTTCCATACAAAAATTTATTTATTTATTGAAATTTACAACTGTACTAAATAAATACAATTAGTAAAGATGGGTAAATCATGAGTAATGACATCAACAGACTCGGGGAGACACTGCCCAATGGTAGTACTCCCTTAATAGTTCTAAGTACGAAGATCACGAAGCCATGTTCTTTTTAAACGCCTAGAAGGGTTATCAGGAATTGACGAAGAAAGCAAGGTTGGATACAAGTTGATTCGGATGGGACTGGCATTTGTCATGATATAGATATATATATGATATATATCTGTCTCCGGCTAAATCAGAGACATATGGAACATTAAGTTGTTTATGAATGGTTTTATTTTAAGGACTTTACGAAGGATTTTGGATTGTAAGGGTTGGATAAAACAGGAATTCGATGGTTTGGTGAAGTCACAAAGCTCAACTCCGTATGTCAATGTAGGTCTAATTATTGTCATGTACATGAGTCTTTTATAATTAATTGAACGTTTAGAGCGTCTGTCTAGTAAGTATTGGAGCAGCCGGAAACGTCGAATTTTTTGTCGTTTCAGTCTTTTATGCGGATTCAAATAATACCTCTGTCCAGTTGGAATCCTAGGTAGCGGATTCGTTCAATAAGGACAAGTGGAATATTATTGAAGGATATTGTAGAAGAAGATCTGGTAGGTTTTCGACTGATCAATTTAAAAGAGGCGAAAATTGAGGGATATAATGGAAGAGAAGGTTGCTGAAATTTTTGTATGGTGTCAAGAATATGCCCCTAAAAGAGACTTAACCTTGAATCTACTCGGTTGCGTTTTCGAAATTTATCACATCAAATTAGCCCGGTCGAGGTGTAATTTGATGAGAGAAAAAAAATCATATAGTAGGTTTCTTTTCGGTTTTAATATTTTTGGGATGCTGAATTAAAATTTGAAGTTCTCCAACGAAAGTGTCCATTGCGTACCGAGATATTTGTGAAAAAATCGAAATTTTCGCACTTTTATTAGTTTTTCCGAAACTATGCATTTGATTGAAATTATTACTGCATAGGAAGTTAAAGAAGACCTACAATCAATTTTAAACAATGCTTTTTGATATAGGGTGAGGTGTTAGAGCGCAGTGACTGTTTGGTTATTTCACAAGTAATTTTGGCTTATTATTTTCAATATTCAACCATTGTGATCGACCAAAAAATTCAAAAACTTAACCCCCTCTCAAAATTTGGGGATTCGCGTTTCAGGATGCGTAGAATTCAAAAAACAAATAAAATTTTTTTTGTCCGTCCACCGTCCGCCGTACGCCGTCCGAGCAATTTCTCCTTAACTACTGGACCGATTTTTTTTCAAATTTGGATATAAAATCAGAGCTCACCCGAGGATAATCCTCCTTCATCGACAGTACCATCCGCATTTTACTTTCAAAATGGCGCCCGAAAAACCTTCGTTGCTATAGACTTTAGCTCCTAATCGAATGTACCGATTTCAATGAAACTTCGCTAAAGTCATTTTCTTGACGCCCTTTAAATTTATCTATATAACACACTTCAACGAAAACAAGCTGGAAAAAAAGTTTACAAGGGATGGTAAAATTTAATTCCTAATAACTCAAAAAGTATACACTTTTTTGTCGACATTGTGTTATATGGTTATTTAAAAGTTGAATTTCCTAAAAAAAAAAATCGTTAAAATCGGACAATTGAGAGCAAAGATATGGGCTCCAGTTTATTTTATATATTCCACTCTAAATGTTATATATTATTTCGTTTTTAAATTTCGGATGTGTTACAGAAGTAATGCTGTTTTTTTTTTAGCATGCTACTAATGATTAAAAAAACGTTAGTCCAATAATTGGAATTACCTTTTATTTTGTTTTATTATTTTCAATAATGAAACATTGTGATCGACCAAAAAATTCAAAAACATAACCCCCTCTCAAAATTTGAGGTTTCACGTTTCAAGACGCGTAGAATTCGAAAAACGAATAAAAATTTTTTTGTCCGTCCGCCGTCCGCGCATTTTCTCCGAAACTACTGTACCGATTATATTCAAATTTTGATATAAAATCAGAGGTCACCCGAGGATGATCCTCCTTCATCGACATTACTCTCCGCCTTTAACTTTCAAAATGGCGGCCGAAAAACCTGCGTTGCTATAGACTGTAGCTCCTAAACGAATGTACAGATTTCAATGAAACTTCGCTAAAGTAATTTTCTCGACGCCCTTTAAATTTATCTGTATAACATACATCAACGAAAACAAGCTGGAAAAAAAGTTACGAGGGATGGTAAATTTAAATTCTGAATAACTCAAAAAGTATACATTTTTTTGTCGATATTGTGATGATATGTTTTTTAAAAGTTTACGAAATTTCCTAAAAAACAAAAAAAAAAATCGTTAAAATCGGACAATTAGGAGCAAAGATATGGTCTCCGGTTTTTTTTATGTGTTCTACTCCAAATGTGATATCCTTGGTTTGGTTTTTAAATCTTAAATGTGTTACTGAACTAATGCTATTATTTTTTTTAGCATATTACTAATGATTAAAGAAAAACAGTTTAGTCCAATAATTGGACGCACCTTTTGTTTTTTTTCTTTGTAACTCGGAAGGTAATGTTACTTTAGATGTATAATCGTTTGGAGATAATAAACCATTGTGTAATAATTTGCAGCGATTATTTTTCTTTGTAACTTTTTTTTTTTTATTATTAAAACACTTTATTCAGAAATATTACAATTTGTCACAGTACTCTTTGTAACTAGGAAGGTAATGTTGTTTTAGATGTATAGTTGTTTGGAAATAATAAACCATTGTGAAAAATTTGCGGTGTTTTTCAATTGGAATGTTCTGTTTGCATGAGGGACATCAACAACAATAACAATAACAATAATAAAAAAATAAGATAAGTCCAACGACATTTCGCCAATTGTATATTACGTCTCTACTCAAGCTTTAATGAAAACGAAGTTAAATTAAAATTTACATTAAGTTCGGGTATAATCTTTAATATACGAAAGGCTACATAGCCATTAGAGCGCTCGGATTTTGAAACACATTTAAGTCCTTATATTTTTTATTATTATGGGTGTTGATGCCTCTTATACTAACAGAATATATAAAAGCTGTGTGATTTGTTTATACATTTTAGTTTTGTTATAAATATCGTCAAATTTACTGAATAAAAAGCATTGAAAAAAAAAAAAACCGCTTAAGTTGAGTGTGACAGATACTACGGGAGGAAATACAACTTCAATTCCGTGCGGGTTAAAAGCCACTTAATCTCCTCACACATATTAACGTTTTTACATGAGGTACATAAAAAATGTAATTCTCTTTCTTGGTCTTACTGAATTTCTTCTAGAGATGCATAGATTATGGATTTTGGAAGAAAAGACGACGAAAACAAATATTTCTTGAGAAATAAGCAAACAAACAATATGCTCTAACTCCTCACCCATTGGCCCTACTCAAAAATGCCTGTTTAAAATTGATAGCAGATTCAATCTTCTTTAACTTTTTATGCGCTAATAATTTCGATAAAATGCTTAGTTTCGAAGTCTTGTCCGAAAAAAATAAGAAAAATGCGGAAATCATGCTGTTTTTTTAATATATCTCGGAACGGAATGGATGGGTACTTCAAATTCAGATTCAGCATCCCAAAAAACAAGTACGATATATTTACAAATTTTACTCAGTGCTATACTTTAAACAATTTTCCGTTTCCATCTTATCAATTATTTGAACCATGCTTAGTATATAATGTTCGTATATACCGCATTGTGTATCTGTGATGTAGCGGCGGCCGTCAAATGTTTTTGCACGATATTTATTAATCTAGAGGTAGGATTAATTAAGATTTAATTATTTAGGTAACGTATTTAGGTAAAATTTGAAAATAAATAGAATTAACTTGAATATATGTATATGAGTAAGTGTATTTAGTGATAAATTAAAATAACAACGGTAAAATATTTTTAAAAAAAATATTTTCACCTCTAATGATAAAAAGGTTCGCAGCCTTTGGTATATAATGTAGAGTGTTGGTTGCTATTTTAAATACAACTTTATGGAAAGATGTTTAAACACAGTACTTTCACTTCACGATAATATTTTTTAAAAATGAATGTTACATTCCACTTTCATAATATTTGAATTTTTCTATTTATTTTTGATGTTTATTGCTGTTAAACAAAATAAGATGAGCCCAATCGTACGGAAGCTTTGAAAATGGAATATTTTTCAGGTTGCATGTTTTTACATGTTTCATCACAAAGACCCATATTGGAACAAGGGTAACCCAGAGCTTAAGTCAATTACTCCCAAGGCTTTTTTATCACGGATGGGATTGGACAGAATTAAATGCATGTTGGAAAAAAAAAATGGAAAAGGGTAGAGGTTTCAATTTAGAAGAACACTACCTCCTGGTTCTCCATTGACCTTGGCAAATCCTATTTCGAAAACATTTTAACATGATTTTATTATTCAGCTACAGGATAACTTTTCATTTTGCTTCCTCACTACCGAAGGTACAAAGAGGACATAGATAATAACTTAGAAATCCATGCAGAGCAAAGTCAGAATACAGTAACATAAAAAAATAATGTTATATATTTTTTTTTCTCGGTTCCTGAGGCGGCGCATTGGCAAGATCCCTTGGACATGGGTCTAATATTTTTCGACCAAATATCACCAAAAAATTGTCACTGACCCCATTTCTGTAATATCCTTTTATCATTCCTATGCTTTAAACAATTTTACTTTTCCATCTTATCAAAATTTGACATATTTTTTATTAATATTTGTGAAATGAAGGAAGATTGGAAGTCCACCATTCCATTGATTCCTATTTTATTGCTCGTATAATGGTGCTGTGCTTAGAACAACTGTTTTAGACCTGTTTTAATTTCCTTTATCTCATTCAATTGGCGATTCCTTTGTGGTAAATAAGTTGTTAGGAGATTCGAGGGGATGGAGAAACGACAGACAGTGAAGATGGGTTGGGATTAGTCAGTATTGAGAACAAATCAAATGATTTTTATGAAACTTAAAATTGATATTTTATTGACCTGCTATAAGTAGTGTAACTTCTCAGTTTCAACTTCTTTTTTGAAGCATGGATTTAAGCAAAACTTTTAAACAACAGACTTACAGTTAATATGGTATGCTCTAATTAGTTTACTGAAAACATTTTAACAAAAAAATTTCCCATGCATGTGCCGCCGCCTTGGGAGTGAAAGTGGCCTTTTTTAGGATACTAAAAAAACATTTCAAATTGGAATCCCTTAGTAAGTAATAAATTATTCTAAATGATTGTCTACATCTAAAATTAACTATTTTTTATTTTGTCTATAGTGCCATCCCCTGATTGGATCGTAGGAGTGTCTGGTCTGGAGCTGTGCCTCTCGAACTGTACCTGGGTCGAGACCTATGTGAGGAACTTATATCCTTGGGACGCTGGCACTGACAGTGGAGTAACCTATCTCGTGAGTATGATTTATTTATTGACTGACTCATACTAATTTAATTAAGTAAAAAATAAAAATATTTTTTAAATTAATAAATACTCGCTTCCATATGTTCCTTCCATATAAAGCATTTCATCCCACTGTGGTATGTAGTAAATTCATAAAATGTTCTATTGAAACTACCATGAGTAAGATTCAAAATTATTTCTATCTTTTTCGAATATGTTCATGTAAAACATTAATCAGCATTATAACATACATTTTAGGATGACTTTGAAAAAATATAACCTATCTTAAATATCCGGTCACATTCGGCAATATTTAGAACTTTATATGATTTTTAAAAAAATAAATATTTTCATAAACGTTTTAAAATTTCAATAAAATTTGAGTAATTTTTTCCTACTTTATCTTCTGTCCCAATTATAAAATCAAAACCATTATTTTTTATTAAAATTCTTTATATTTAGCTGATATTATCAAAAGTCAATAATTATTTTAAAAGTAATTTAAAAACATTGAAACTTGAATAGGGCCGTATTTGGAACCGATTAAACTTCAAAGCTCGTTTTGGAACAAGAAAGGTTGATTGGGATTAAATTTGGGAGGAAATGTAGCGTATGATTCGGATGAGGAAATTAATTAAAATTCTATTATAAAAATTTCAATTTCTGTTTAGAATGATGGTATAATTAAATATTTTTAATTTTATTTGAATAAACAGAAAAAAAATCTTTTGATTGATAATTTTTTTAAACATTTAAGCAATCCAAGTCTAATTACTATACTTTGAAAAATACCGTTTTTGGAGTTATTTTATTTTAACACCTCATATTTTATAAAATACCAAGATTTGGTTTAAAAAAAAATGCAGGTCACATCAATTGAGTGTTTTTGCATTAGAATCGATACTTATCTTAATATTTAAAAAAAAATCTATTAGAGTTCGCTTTGAAAATAAACTCATTTGTCCAATATTATAACTTTTTGAATAAGTTAAGTGAATAACGTGCTAAACTTTGTGATTTCCTTAAGCATAACTTTGCAGTTGTAGATTTCATGAAAAACATATGATTATGTAATATAAGGAACGGCATTTTAAGTCGTATACAGGGTGCTTTAGGATTACGTGGCCGAACTGAAAATATGATTTAAGGAATTCAAAACAAGAAAAAAAATTCCTATGAAGTTAAGTCCGCAAACGCTTTGTTTAGGAAATATTCATACTTAAAGATTTTCATTGTTATGAATTATTTATATTATATTAAGTAAATAAAACTTATTTATTTGTTCCAACTACTTTATTACGACTCAGAAAACATGCTGAAGGAGGAAGTGTGGAAGAATTGGAAGTTTACAGTTGTAAATAAACGACTTGAAAAATGGCTCGACGAGCCGAAACGTCGTAATAAGATTTTGTAATGAAAAGATTGGTGAATGTTGGCTTAAAATCAATAAATTGGAAAATAAAAATTTAGCTCGCCCACTGGTGTACGTTAAAAGTTAAGCAGAACTAACGCGATGAGCGTTTCTGATTGAAGTAGATTATAAGTGCCTAAAATAGTCTAAAGTTAGAGAAAAAGGCATCATTGAATACTTCCTTCGTTGCGCTACATGGTTATATAGTAAAAAAAAAAATACAAAATCCCTATACTGTTTGATGCTAAGATACAGGACGAGCTATCTTATGTTCAAAACATAAAAGATATAAAAATGAATTATTCAGCTATTTTTTTAAGTGCTCAGTTGGCATTGCCCTGGGATTATTTATTTATTTTTTGTTTATGAACATCTTATTTTATTTATGTTACAAACACGTTTCTCAGCATTACCTCAAACTTTGTTTGCCGTCCTTTTTGGACTTTATTAATAAAGGCATAAACTCCGATACGGAGGATTAGTTATCTTCAGGAAGGCTAACAGATCCAATAAAACTACTTAATGTACTTTATCTGGGCAAATAATTCTCTGTCAGATATCTTATGATCAGGTTTGGGAGGTCTAAATTTTATTTTAAAACTTGATTATTCATAAAACAGTTTAAATGATAATAACACACTCTATGTCTCTTATCTTCTAAATGACGGTTATGTGCTCTATATCTTCCTATATACAATATATCTGTATCGCCTGTCATAAAATATTAAAAATGTGCTGTATTTTTGATGGCATAGTTTTCGTTTATGAACCCTAAACAATTTAATTTTAGCACTTGGTTTAAGAGTACGTTTAAAGTTTGAAGTTTGAACAGTACTTTTCAATTTCTTGGAAGTACCAATTTGTAAGAATTTATATTAAAGTACACCCTTCGGTTGCTTATTACAATTTATCATTAGCCCTTCTTTTTTCTTAAACTAGGTGTTTTATTGATAAAAGTTGGTGCACAAAGATACCAATGATTACAGTTCATCTTGTAAAACTGCAGATTTGTTTTGTAATATAGTCACCGACGCATCTTCCAACAATTAATAAGTATCATAACACTACCTAAAAGGTTTCTTACTAAAACTGAACGTTAGAATTGTTTTAATCACTTACCCTTTTCTGTAACTCCAACGATTTAGAAATTAAAAAGAAACCGAAGTCACGAGCACCGTTTCTTGAGATTTTCCTCAAGTTCATTCACATTTTCTTACTTCATGTAACTCCAAAAGTCTTCGACAGTGTTACTAGAGTTGAATATTGACCTAACTTAGACATAACCTAAAACTCATCATCTGTCCAATACAAATTGAAGAATCTAATGGACAAAGGTGATAAGAGACATTTTTGGAAAATTTTATTATTACTATAGATAAACTCATAATGAGTTATATTTTAAATATTTCCAACTTCTAATCCCTTGAATTCAATAGTTGGCTCAGAAGTGAACTTTGATAGAACTGTTAAATGACGAAACACGTCAGCTCTGTAGTCAATAAAGGAGATAAATGCACTTATCAACTTCATCAAAGGCAAATTATTATCAGTAAAGTCACTAATTCAGTCGTCACTATGTTTAATTGTTCAATGTAAATATTTAGATAAGAACCTATTGATAATTTGTTCAGTGTTAATAAAAGTGACCAGCAGAGGTAATAATAAGGTGATAAAATAAAATAACAAAGGTACAGACATGATAAGTATGACAAATCGAAAATAACTCTTGCATATGCCTGAGGTTTCAAAATTCAGAAAAGGAATAGTTTAGTCAAAAGCGAAAAAAATCATAATATTAAGATAATAAAAACATGACATTTAAAGTCGAGGCATGTAGATGGATTTTGAATTTTTAGTTCAAAGAAAGATGGTGTCATCTTCAAGAAAACTTCATTGCTTAAGGACAACAGAATTTCAACACAATGGAAATTCAAGGACTAAAAGTATACCTTCAAAGGAATTTTATGACAGCCTGGGTGATGAGAAAGTTCAGAACTTAAACAAGTATTCTATAATATTTAAGGAAGTGGGGGCTAATAAAACTATTAGAGGAACCAAGAATACTTTGTATTTATTTTTAGAAATAATAATTTTAATTCTGAAAATAAATAAAAAAACATCTGGTGTGTCCACTCACACGACTTTCCTACCTATTTCAGAAAAGTTTTTATATCTTTACATACGTTCATAAAGAAACAAAAAATAATTGAACCTGATACATTTTCCTGATAATTGATCAAACATAAGATTTGAGTACGATTTATATAATAAACTAAAGCAATGTAAACCGTCTTAAGATAGATCAGTGTAAAAATTTCGAAACTTCCTAATATTGCTGATCAAAAACTTTTTGCCATAGCCTAATTTTGTCAAACGATAGTTTCTGTTAAAAGTAGAGGACATAGTGAAGCTTGTGTGATGCGGGCAACAGATTTTCTTACTTTCACTCATCTTTTTTCTCTCATTCACCCCTTTCTGACACCAGGATATGAACCCGTAATCTTACATTGCAAATTAAATAGCTGTAGCTTCGTTAATAGTTGTCCAAAATGAAAGATGTTTATATAGTATTGTAGGGAATTTCATTACCTTTTAAAAAAACGGCTTCGTTTTTCCATGTGTTTTTTGGACTCCCGATTGCAATACTTTCCTTACCTAGTATAGGTAGGAAAGTAATAAGTTAAAACACGTGTAAAAAATAGAATAAGTTGTATTATCGCTAATACTGTACTTTTTCGGTATTTTTTCGAGAATTTAGTCCATATACAAAAATTGAAAGGATAATTATTAGAACATTATAGGCAAGTTTCATCACAGCCGCTACAGTCTATAGAAACACATGTTTTTCATTTATTGCGCGCAAGCTATTGCGCATGGAGCACCGAATTTCTGTCACAGACATCAGTAGTCAAAACCCTACAAAATAAAAAAAGAAGCAACAAAATCGGTTCAGTAGTTCCCGAGAAAATCTTGGTACAGACAGACAGACAGACAGGCCAATGGCTAAAATGTGTTTTTCGGACTCAGGAGGTTCGGAAACGTTGAAAACTGCATATCGGAAATTTGACCCGATTGGAATACTTTCTTTACCTAGTATAGGTAGGAAAGTAATAAACAGTATTGTTTCCAAATTAAGCTACATTAAAATAAGTAAATAATTATAACAAATTTAATATAATTTTTAATTCATTAAATATTCTTCATGAAGATCTGAATCCCCATATGAGATTAAACCACTACAATACATTTAAGGACATAACATACTTCACACAGATTGTTAGGGTCTATGATTCACTAATAAAACCATAATTTCTTTAGTCCATAAGGGCACAAAGTATACAAATATAGACATTAAATTTGATTTTAAATAGAAAGTAAATTTAATTTTCGTTTTATCAAAATTATGAGCTTTTTCCACAGTTAAAATAAGAGAGAAATTAGGTTTCACATTTCCTAAAAGATTGTGTGTCAAACTTTAAATCCAATTTTCTCAGAACTCTAAACGTGTTACTTGTCACATTTAACCACTTGAACTCATCCCCCTTCGGTCCTTTAATGTCGATGGTGCATGGCCCCTCTCCCAAAAAAAATGAATTGCACTTCTGTTCTTAAAAACAGTCAACCTTTGATTGGTTCCATGTTTTCTCTTTCCTCGATTGATAGCAAAAATATGGTCAACTACAAAAATTCATTACCTCTTCAAAATGTGCCCTCCTTCCTCCCCACCTCAAATATTTTTTGTTGTCATGCACAACAAACACTTTCTCAGCGCCTCTGACCTCCTCAACTATTTTATTGCATCTACTTAGGACACGATGGTTGTATCCCTCATTAATGAAAGATGTAGAACTCTTAATCGGCAACGTAAGAATTGTTTTTTAACTCTCGTAGTATGATGCGAAAACTATATAAAGAAAACTAAAAACGATAGACTTGTCAAGTTATCTAGTTGCAACCGGTTGTAAAAAAAAAAAATTAAGCTTCAATTATATTGTTCCCGATCAATATAACTTATGCGACTTGTATCAGATTTATTCAAATATAAAAATTACTTGATGGCATGATGTATCTCCTTATTACTTTTGGTCTCAGTTCCTGATTCATGGGTTAACTGATACATTCTTGGATTTAGACCTAACCACATTAGGAACTAACTATTACAGGTACAAATGATTACCGGTTTAATTTCCCTTCCAGAGTAAAATAGTTCTATGTTATAAACGAAATGACGAAAATTATAGCAACGTGTTAAAACTAAAATAAAATCCGTTCACTTGCCTTCGCAACCCTCAGTTATCGCATACTATTACATAATACTAAAAAAAAAAAAAAAAATTGAAATAATCAATTGAAGGAATTTTAATATAATAAATGAATTCTAATTTCGGAAGGATTGAATTTTTTAATAGAAAATTCATGTATTTTTAATTATGGTTTACCTACAGCCTATTTAAAGTTAATTGCTTTTATGATTTAATTTGATTTTATGGAAAGTGACTAATTATTCCTATAATATAAATATACCCCCCTGCCAACATATATTGTCAGGAATATATCTCTTTGCTACGGTATCGATAAGGAAGTTTTGTTGTTTTTTAAATGTTTATCCTCTCCATATGTACCAAACTTCTTCAGAATAGTTTATACAATTTTTTATATTTAACTGATTTTATTTAAATTATATACCCCACATGCAACAACCAACAAAACCGTACCTTTAAAGATTAATTTTATAACAGCTCTTCCCTAAAAAAAAATATCATTCGGGTCATGTACTTCCATCTCTCTTCCACAAACCAATCTCAACTCTGGTTGAACGTTGAATTATAGTTACAGTCATTACAGTTACCAGACAAGCAATGCTTATTTCAATTAATGGATTTTCCTGGAACCAACTTGAGGGCAAGTTGTAAATAAGTAGGATTTAATCATCCAGACTTGAAATCATTAAATAGATAAATTATTAATAGAGAAACGGTAAGTATGTAAAAAAAAAGAGGTGAAAAAGAAAAACTGATTTTATATTTAGTTTCATTACCTCTAAATATAGCTAAAATCAGTTCTAAAATGCTTGGAACCCAACATGGAAAAAAAAAAATTCTTGTAGGTGTGTATAATACATTCTGGCTTTTAAAATGTTCATATTTATTCCATGTTAATTTTAATTACTATGCTTACTGAAATTAAATTAAACACTTATTTGTTATATTATATACCTTAACTTGTGATTTCTAACGCAATAGGGCAGTGGTCACGGACAATTACATGTGACATCACATGAGCCCGCCAGCGAAATTGAGCCTAAGCTGTCTTAGGATAGGGAGGCTCAATTTATCATTGTTATCATACAATTTATCACAGAATAGGGATCATCAAGGAAATCGGTAACTTTTTTATTCAGCAGTGTTCTTGTTCGATGATTTTTTTTTTTTTTAAAGAATATCTAATGAGTAAATAATTGGAAATATGATCGTGATTATTTGAAAATGGTCTTTAGTAATATAATTTATTTTTCACTAATTATATTCAGTGGGGAAGGAGGGTCAGGTCGTGTTTACATTTCATTTTATTCAATTACTTTATCATTTTTTTAGAAACCTCTTTTCTCTTACTTGTTCCTTCACTTCCTGTAGAGCAATAATTCTGAGGTTTAGGGCTTTTAGATGTTAGTACGTATTACGTAGCTTTTTTTTAAAACTAATTTGATAATCTCAAATTATTTGTTAATAATAAAAAATGTTGTTTATTCAATTAAAGTATTTTTTATAATACTGTTGTTTTTTTTTCTACTTTTCTTGAATCATTTTATTTTGTAGTACTCATACCATAGGTTGAAACCCATCTTATTTAGATTTCGCTGTACTGAGGATTAATGGAAGCTGAGGAATATATAAGTGACTGTTAATCGATGTTTTACTGTATATAGTGTACTTCGGTTTTTGATATTCTTCCAAATTCCAAGATATTAGAAGTTTTAATGTTTAATTTTGAATCATTGTTTTAATTTAATGTTCGTTTTATTTACAGAGTCCAGATAACAAGACTGAACCTAAGGATCGCATTAGAAGGATCACAGCTGCTTTCCCCTCTGATCCAAATTCTCCATTTTACTCGTCTTCTGGTAAGCTGGTTAACATATATTTATTAATGCAGAAAAAATAAAACTATTAGGTTTGGTAATTAAAGCAGTTAAGAAGTACTTTACTTGGGTACTTTCCATCATATTCAATTTTACTTAAGAAATTAGTAATTGAAGGGTTTGGTGCAAGAAGGAGACAGCTCCACTTTTTGCAGTATGTAGCAAATTAAAGAAATTCAGTTCACCGAAACCAAAAAATATTCAGTCTTGTGATACGTTATGGGATATCAAATACAACTGACCAGAATGCACACAGGTACGTGCAATGGAACTTGGAATTTTGGAGCTGACTCCATTTTGCTCCAAAGGGAATGAGAAACCATTTGTAGGACCATTTTCTCTAGAATTAGCCATATTTCAGTTTACAAAACATTTATTAACAAAGAAAGTACAACATCATTGGCATCACATCAATGTGTACAGTTCTTCTTCAGTCTTCCAACTCCCTCATTCTCCTCAGGATCGTTTGAAGCTTCTGACGTCAACTGGTCCTAAAACCACATTTCGTTTTGCCCAGCATACTTTCTGGCCAGCTCATTGACATCTTTAAACTTTTGATCTTTAAGCAGGAGGAGACAATCATAAGCTTGATGAAGGTGGTCCAGTGTTATGAGACCTGAAAAACCTTGGTTGCAAATTTGCGCATTATCGAAGACAGTCATCCCTACCGCCACACTGCATTAAATAATCCCTTTACAGATATATGGCTGTTAATAGAGGAATAGTTTGTGCTTAGTGATTAAATATTTATCGTATGGTATCGTTTGGAGGAAGAACGAGGCTGCTACATCTGCCGGAATCTCTGGAACTAATGTGTGGAGCTGCTTCATTCTTGTACCAAAAGAAGCGGCTTTTTCTTTTGTATGTGATAAGATGTGTAACTTAATAGAGGCACAAAGTGGAACTGCCTCCTTCTTGCACCGAAACCCTCAATTTTTGATTCCAGGAAAAATAATATTTCAACCGAAAATTATCATCGCCCCATCGTAAATAAATATGTTGTGTAGAAGAGATGTCAATTGTCTTTCATTCAGCCATTGCATGTTTTAAATATAAAATCACATTTACATTTAGATATTTATTTCTATACCGGTCTTGAGGTACCGATGCTGAATGTGATGGATCATATTCAGTTTTCGCTTTTTTTTTTATTCATTATCCTCTTCCTCAATCTAGCCTGTAGAAAGTGAGAATGGTATTTATTTTCATCCCTTACCTCTCCACGGTCCCCATATCTTGTTATGGAATAAAAAATAACAAACACATCTATTTATTAATCTATATTATTATTCCTAGGAGGCTGTGATAACTGCGATGAAAGAGATCTAAAGGTGCTTGAAATATCAATTGATCTTATTGTTCCAAACTAATTAAATATTTTAAATAATGGATCTAATTATTTTGAGTAATGATCTTAACTGTCTCCTTCCTATCCGAATAATGAATGTTTCGATTTATGTAACTAATAGTTTTTTGTCGAAAATCAAATAATAATTAGTTTTATTGAAGATATGTATTAAAGTATCTCAGAAACTAAAAATCGGACCTGCCTATTGTAAGTGAGGAAAATGTTCAGCATTTCATTCTCTTTATGGTGAGCTATTATTTATAATTTATATTTCATATTATTGATCTCCCCTTGTTGATGTTTTCACTTCTACCGTGTGGTCTAAAGCACACATCTTCGTTTGGTTTTTATGGCGTTAAGATTCTACACAAAAACCAACTAATTGTTATGATACATTGAGGAGCACTATTCCGAAATTTCTTTTTCTTACACGCTTATTTCTTGTATCTTCGTAATGTATCGTAATAATTCTGATTATGTTATCCAGAAATCGAGCTTTTCATCCGTCCTCCTGTTTGCATGACCAACAAAAATAATAAATGTCTAACGATTTAGAATTAGCTCATTATATTAATGTAATACAAAAGTTTCAATAGAGATATAAAAGTATCGGATAATTTAAAGTTCATATCACTACTCCAAAGCTTCAAATTTCCTTCTTTAACTTTCTCACTATGCTTTTCAGCGTCGAGTTAGGTTAATTCATCTCAGAATATCCATCAAGTTATGTCCTCACAAGAGTTGTCATCTCCTGTAGTGTCTTTTCTATCGCTTGCCCCCTCTACACACACACCACCATGCAGGCACGCTCGCGCACTCACACGCACACGCACACACACAAACACCATTTTGCAGGACTTGGTTATTTGGTCTCAAGAGACCGCAAAACATGTATTTCCGTTGAAAACTCATATTCGAAAATTTTGGCGATCGCAATACTTACCCTTACTATATATTTCATATATAGGTAAGTGAAAGTAAAAAAACTAACTTATAAGCATATACTTGTATAAATTTATTTATAAATATGCAGTATTATATAATTCATTTTACAATGACTATGTTGATTATGTTAATTATCATTCATAATTTCCATACATAATTTAAACTCCCGAGACTTTTTTGAGGTGGGAGAGGAGATGGTTCAACGCCCTCCTCCCAACCAGAAAGGAAAGTGTGCGCCTTTGGCTTTAATTAAAGTTAATTATAAACTTATATTAAACAGTATGTGTATGGATATTAAAAATGGGCAATTTTTATTATTCAAAATTTATTTTCTGTATAAAAAGATATTATGAAATTTGTTTGTGTTTGTTTTAGGTGAATTGAAGCCTCTAGCACGACTTTATTTGACAAGACAGAGATTGTATGAAAAAAGTTGCAGTGGGTCAAATACTGAAAATCCTGAAGGTAATATTTAAAAAAATCCAATATTTATATTCATACAGATATGTATGGACCATTTTTAACTAGAAGTGACTATGTAATGTCCAGAGCAGTTTTCAATAACCATTATAATTTTTTGAGTTGAAAAATTTGTATATCTAACTTTATCTAGAACCACGCTTTTTATGTTTTTGATTAAGTTAGTTCTTTAAATGAAAAAAAATAAAATTTAAAAAACTGTTTGAGCAGTGAACTCTTCATTCCCCATCGGAATCCAAGCCCAACTTCAACTTTCAAGTTCTGAATGAAGTTTTTCCCACAGTTAATTGATGGGTTAGCTCTCATTGATTCAGATTAAGAACTAAGTTTTTAAATATAATTTTAATTTCATTTCTCTAGAATTTTATGAGGCAAATGTGTTGTTTATATGACCTTTTTTAAGTGTTACTGGAATTATGGTGATCACAGCTGTTTTTTTCCTGACATTTTCCCTACAATTTTACTTTCAAAATACTGGTTGATACTTTATTCCTATGGGTTACAGATCTGTCAGATGGAATCACCTTATTTTGTTCACATTGTCCAATTGATCAATCAAGGATGGCAACTTCTTTTTTCTTAACAAATACAAAATCTTCAATATCATTAATTTAATTTCTTTACTTCCTCATTTCATAGTGAAATTATAGCTGAATTGTTAAATGTCTCTTGGGTTAATTTTTAGCAAAGATGGTTTTAATTAGGTTTATTCTTACAGAGGAAGAGAAACTTAATTTTTGGCAGTTCACTACCCTCAGTAGTAGGCCACTCCTGTAAGAGTATATTTTTACCATTGTTAGATATAGACTGTTTATTCATTATTATTTGGTCAGTGATAAACTAATTAAAATTTGTAATACTTAATGCCAATTTAATATTTATTGCTCATTAATTATTGATTTGAAAATTTGGAAGCATGTGATACTACACCATGGGGAGACTGGAGTCCATGTTCTGTAACATGTGGAAGAGGGGAAAGGACAAGACAGAGGTGGTACAGAAACAAGCAGGCAGCAAAAGAAAATAATTGTGATGTTGAGCTTACCTTAAGATCACCTTGCAGCATAAATGTGCATTGCAGGTAATATTTGAAATTTAATAATTTTATCACAATTAATTTTATTACTCTAAAATGAAATTTTTATATTTATTCTTCCAGTTATTAACTCATTGTCAATGATGAAACAATATTTTCCACGTTAGTTTAAAACATACATGCATTAATTGTATAGATATAGAGGTATATATTTCCGTCTGTTTATATGTTTATTAGTATATTATTATATTTATTTATTATCCTTTCTCAAAGCCAATTATGATATAGAGCAGTAGCGGATTCAGGATTTATTTTGGGGGCTAATTTTTTTTCTATTTTTTTAACTTTTATAACAGAAATAATATTGCTTATAGGGATAAAAAATTTATATATTTTTCTTGACATGTAGTTGAAATAAATTTGTTCTAATTTAAAAAGGTAACATATTTAACTTGTAAATAACCTGTTAAAAGTTAATTTTAAATATTTCTTTTTGGTGGGAATATTCAATAGCCTTTCGCTTTTTATCGAGGAACTAGGTTATTTACACTCGTGACTATTAAAACAAAACCCTGGATATAGACTTTTTGAGGGTGTTTAACTGTTGTTGGGAATTTGGGATCCTAATACTTTTGTGACACTGAGTGATAAGAAACAATAAGAATATATATATGAAATGTGGAACTTAGTAAATACACTTTGAATGAATTAATTCACCTGGTTTGTTATTGTTCAATCGTGATGCATATAGGACAACTAAATAAATAAATGACTTTTCACTCCTATATAACAAAATAATTTATTTCTACAACTATAATAAATTTACTCTATTAAAGTGTTATAACTATACACTTGATCTTTTAAATATTGTAGTAGAATTCTAACGTTGTTCCGCCTCAATGTCCTAGCCTCTTCTCCAGTGCCTTCTCTCCTCTTCTCCAGCATCCTTCTCCAGCTGTTACTACCTGCTCACTCCTTTTCCTTCTTTCTTCTTTATCAATTGTTTATCAATATGCGACTTTTCAATGAATAATCTGTCCACTGCATAATTGAGTACAATTCATCGTGCAATCTCACATTCCTGTATATTCCTTCTCATTCCCTCACAAAATGTCACATAAAGAAGTAAATACTGGGGGCTATCTACTACAAAGTATTTGACTTAGATGAGGTATTAACTCTGGCATTAATACCTCACCCTTTACTTGAACCCTTAATTCCCTAAAAAGTAAGGAAGGGGAGGAAAAAAAAAAAAAGAATAAAGAGGTTGGGTTAATAATCCAAGCAAATTGAATAATTCTCATTTACTGAGTAGCAATAATTAATATAGGTTTTGGTCATTCAATTTCGATTTTTTTCATTTTTCTATGTTGAGAAATTTAATTAATTTTTCTATAATTCTTAAAACTGCCTTTTTATTACAAATATTGATAATTTTATAGATTTTTAATAATTTATTCAGTATAGATTTTCTTCAATCCTTATTAATTTTTTTTTCTCTTTTTTTTATGTTTAAGCATAATTATGTTTATGTATACTTATAAGTATGCTATGTTTAAGCATAGTCATATTTAAGATTTCCTAATCACCATCTTTCAAAAATTAAAATTATCAAGATCTGAAGTATCGATATTGTTCATTGACATTTGATATATTTGGAAACTATTAATATTATATAAATCAATAGTTTTAATCGACATTTGCATTATTTCTCTTTTCAGTGATTAAAAATATGGAAACTTTGTATATTGAAGTATCAATACATTTTTTCGACATATCAAATGCTAATTTGATATATCTGAAAACTATCAAATACAATATATATTTATTTATTTAATTTTTTTACATTTACATCCCTATTCAACAGTATGAGTTTTCAGACTAGCCTGGAGAGATTTCAATGCTATTTAATGAATCCACACAAATTTTATTCCATTTGTCTTTATAAATCCAAATTCCTCAAAATATTTATAATATTGTCGAATCAGTTGTTTATCAGTTTCACATTCTTCCTGAGTTAATCAATAATTTATCATTATATAAACTTACAAATTTGATTTATTATTTCAAGAACACCTGAAGGAATCAGAAGTACAAAAAAGTGTCATACTTTTAAGATAAAAACAGGTTTGGCTGACAATACTGTGGTACTAAAACTGCGAATGAATTCTAAGAAAGAAGATTGAGAAAATAAAATGGATTTCATTAGTATTTATATTAGGCCTGCTTAACTTTTATACTTTTTTGAATTTTTTTCTTATCAGTAATAAGATTTTATTTCTGTTGGCTTTTGATTTCTTTTTGGTTGGTTCTTTATTTTATTCTATTTAATTTTGATTAAATTATAATAAATATCTTTATTATTTTTTATTTTATAATTTATTTTTTATTTAATTTGGTTATGTTTTAGTTACCTTTGGCACGTTTTTGAATATATTTTGCAATATTTATAGTGTAGATTACAGTTCTGAGGATGATAATAGTCCTAGCAATAACTCCCCCAGATGGTCCAACTCGCCGAGGAATGAAGTGGTGCCTCAAGGAGATATAAACGAATTGTGCAAAGTGACTGAGTGGTCTGATTGGTCTGGTTGTTCAGTTAGATGTGGAAAAGGAGAGAAGCACAGGTAAGATGTTTCTAATAATAGTGCATTTGGGAAACATTTGGTTTCCGTTAAATAATATTAGGTTTTAGAAATTATTACTTATATATTTTTCTCACTATCCATTATCTTCTATGACTTTATATATTAAATATTATTTTTCTAAAATATGTAGCTTTTCGATGATATATTATAAATATATAATCTGACTATTATTTCCGGAAATTCATTTTCACCCTGAAAAATCATTTTTCCTATTTTCTTCCTGTAGTCAATTCATTGTTTATCAAAGTCTTTCCTGGTTTATATTCAGCTATTTTTATTGATACTGATAAGTATCAACTGTTAGTAACTTAAAATAAACCAAATTTCAAAATACTTTATATGAAGAAATTTTGAACATTGGTAAATGTAAAATGACATCAATGAGAATTAGAATTGCAGTAAAAACTACTCAATTCTACATTGATATACTGAGTTTAATCAAAATCATTAGAACCATTTTCGAGAAAAATTAGTAAAATTGATGTTATAAAGTGACACTTTCAGTTAGCCGATTTAAAAAAAAAAAAAACAGTTTCACATAGTTCCCGTTTTGATTAAACCAGGTAGCAGTTAAGTATTATTAAAAATTGAATAGTATTAAAAAAAATGTAATGACTTTTTCTGATATAAACTGTTACAGCTACAGTAATTGAAGGTAATATCATTTTGTTACATTCAAATTAGTTAAGACTGTAGCAGTTTTCAAAACAATGAAATGAAAATATATTTTATTATTCTGGGACTGTTGTCCCTTTAGAACAAATTATAAGTGCTAAATTCATGTGTAAGTGGTCAAATATAGTAGATGTTTACAATATGGTTTAAAAGTAAAAATACAGACGGAAAGAGAGAAAAGACATAAAAAGTGTAAATATACATACATAATGCAAACAGAGAAAACTAAAGTAACAGAAATATTTTCTGGAGTTACTTATATAGCTCTTTTAGGTATATGTCGTGATCAAGTGGATTGAGAAAGGAGTAGGTGTTTAAAGAGTAGAGGTTTGAAAGAGGAAACTGATTGCGTGTAATGAATATCAGCAGGGATAGAATTCCAGAGTGAAGCGGCTTGAATTGCAATTGATTTGTCATACACAGCAGTTCAGTGAGTAGGTGGATAGAGGTCGGAAGTGCAAGATCTAGTAGGACAGGTTTGTATGGAGTATTTAAATTGTAAGCTATGGAAAATGTAGGAGGGTCGATGAGTTCTAATAATCTCGTACAGAAAGGTAGCTAGGAAGTACTGACGGCGATAGGATGGAGAGAGCCACTTCAACTCGGTGTAATACTGGGTAATATGTGTATCTCTTGAGATACTGAAAACAAAGCTTGATTTGCAATTCATTAGGAGTTGGCCTCGGAGATGTGCGGTTCCCAGGAGAAGATTGAGGGATGTTGGGAAGGATTTGAGGAGTGTGGGAAATCCAATCAAGATGGATGGTAGTGCGGCTTTGATCATTCTGACTGGAATGTTATCGAGACCATAATCATTAGTATGAGATTTCTGAATGAAGTTTAGGAGATCATCAGGAGTAATATGGGAAAAAAAAGAAGTGATCAGGATTAAAAGAGGAGGATTAAAACAATATGATATTTCATACGTCCATGTCGTAGTGTTCTGGCATATAGCTATGAAGGAGAAATTAAATATGATACTGGGCACTACCCATGCTCTCTTCAATATCTCCTACTAAGAATTTTGGTTTAAAAAAGTAATCTTAGTAAAACTTAAAAGCCTATATCAGGTATTCTATACTTTATGGTAAGGCAACCAAGATAAACTTAATAATCTGTAAAATAATAATGAGAGGTCTACTTGGGGAAACTGGTTTAAGAAATCCATCAATTTGAAAATTTTCACATTTATTAAATTAAGTTAAGTAATTATAATTTTTTTAAAAATTCTGTTGAATAATGTAGTATTTCCACAAAAATCTATTTTATTTTTATGTATCACCTGTTAATCTGATAGGCCTAAGTTACAAATGGTATTGATTTTATTCATAAATCTAATCTCATTGAGACATCATTTACACAAAAACAATCACTGACTTCTCTTAAGTTTAGTTGATTTAATTCATTTCTTAGAATTTATTTTTATGTTAATTATTTTTCAGATTTAGAAGAATACTTGATAAACGCAACTGGAAGGAATGTACTTTCTTCTATAATATTAAACTGCAGCAAACTGAATCCTGTAACGGAACTAATTGTAGCGATCTCACTTCTGATGTACCATTGGTTAGTACAATATATGATAGATAAATTATTATGATAATTGTAGTAAAATTAATATAATATTTTATGGTTTTAAGAATAAACAAATTTTATTTATCAAAGTTTAACTTTCTCCTTTGTTAATAGCATTCAGAGCCTGTTTCATCCAGAAACTGTTCAGTGGATGAATGGTCAGATTGGAGTCCATGCTCTGTGTCATGCAGCGAAGGAGTGAGGGTCAGACACAGAAGAACATATGGTAGTGATTGTAAATTTGAAGATGGTGAAGAGAGGGAAATCTGTGTGGAGAAAAAAGAGTGCATTTTCACATCCGAAGAGGCAAAAGGTATGATTATATTTTATATTATGGCATCAGATGGTTTAGGCAATTAACAGTAAATATAATACAAGATTGATGGTGTAAAAGTTTTTTATTGTATTGTAAATGCAAGGACTTCATGAAATAAGATATTTTTCCTATATAACTTTTGTTATTTGTTAAAGCATGTTTTGTTTTTTGTGAAAAATTGTTATAACTAACATTTTAAGACTACAGATGGGGGTAGGGGAGGAGGGGAGGAAGCAGAATAATGATATCAAAATGTTTCACATATTTTTTAAACTTCAATATTGATTAAACATCACAATAACATAAAATTAAGGAATTAATATGATGTGTAAATAACAATTATGAATTTGATTGTTATATATCCACACATTACATTATCACTCCAGATACATACCAATGTCTGGGTTATTTAAACTTAACTATTTACTTGAGAATAAGGTCATTTAATTATTATTTAATAAACAATTGAATGTTCATTTTTTCTGTTTATTGAAGTTTTGATCCCGGTATTTTCTTTTTTTTTTTTATTAGTCAACCATGGGATCCTCTTCAAAGCTAGAATTTTAAAAAATAGAGCTTCGATCTGGCCAGGGACACACCGACAGTCTCAGCACCGTCCACTAGCACTTATATTAAGCTACTGTAGCTATATAGTAGATCAAGAGTAGCTTAATATATGTGCTAGTGGACGGTGCTGAGACTGTCGGTGTGTCCCTGGCCTGATCGAAGCTCTATTTTTTAAAATTCTAGCTTTGAAGAGGATCCCATGGTTGACTAATAAAAAAAAAAAAAAAAAGAAAGAAAATACCGGGATCGAAACGTCAATAAACAGAAGAAATGAACATTCAATTGTTTATTAAATAATAATTAAATGACCTTATTCCCAATTAAATAGTTAAGTTTAAATTTAATACTCAAAGGTCGATTAAGAAAAAGTTGTAAAGATATATATATATCTTTTTTTTTTTTCTCACCAAGACTATTCAATTACTCTGTATTTTTATTTATGTATCTTTGAGGCTCCTTAGCCCACATTTCTGTCTTCCTGTATTATTCTAAAGGGACTCATCCCAGAATAAATAAAGTATTATGATTATTATTATAAATTTACTAAGAAACTTTTCTTCATTTAATGCAAACATGTTTAAGAATAATAACAAACCAATAAATTTTTCTAAGTTTGTTAAATTCATTATTCAATAATATGAGGCTACATAGAAGATTTTGTTCCACCATATTCCTTAACTCACTTTATACATGCTTTAAGGTTGAAAAAATACTTTCTCTGTTATTAATGGCAGCCAGTTGGATAGTACATAAAACTTAAGCTATAAAATTTATAACATTAGATAGAACTTACAACTTCTGGTAAGTTACTAATCGGGCTCTGATTTTTGAACTAAATATCAAACAGCTGTACAATAATTATTCCTTTGTGTTGCTGTAATTGAAGGACACAAGGCTAATGCCTAACTGTACCAAATAATGTCCGATATTCAAGGAGAAATAGGTGTTATGAGAATGCCTTCTAATATGGAATTCTTAATGAACTTTATATCATTGCAAATGAAGAGTTTGAAGTGCACACTTAGAACTTAAGATGCAGACCTGATAGTAAAAAAGAAACACAAAATCGATTTGTCATATGTTTGCATAAAGATACTTGTATAGTAACCACCAAGATAGGAAATAAATAAAGTATCACGATTTTGGCTGGGACTAGAAAATTGATCGTAAAATATGTTTACTAATAAACCCACTATAAAATTCTTCGGCTGTCATGTTTATATACCAAGAGAAAAAGTTGGGAGGAATCAAAAGAAGAGAACAAAAAAATATTTACTTAAAAAAATTAACCTTTTGATTGGTGTTGAATTTCAAGCTATTTATTAAGATGACAATTAGCAAAACAGCTTTTATAATAACCCTTTGCATGATGTTTTCTAACCTCATAGAGATTTGCGTGTTACCAAAGCCTTCAGGACCATGTCGAGGAACATTTGAGAAATATTATTTCAACACTGAAACTGCTTCATGTACTAAGTTTATCTCAAGTGGTTGCCCCGATAGCCTAAACCAGTTTGACAAGTTGGAAGATTGTGAAAAATCTTGCGCTTCGGTCAAAGGTAATTAATTATAACTGAATAAAAATATATTCTTAGTATAGTTTAAACATTTTGTGAATAAGTCAAAATATATTTATTTTTTCTTTAAAATTTAAATTTAATTTTCCATTGCTATTCTTAAACTTTAGAATAAATGTTCTAAACATAAATGAAATGATTTCAAAACTAGAAAAAAAGAAATATAACCAAATCATTGAAAATGGCAATAGTCTATATTGTAAAAATCCACTAATTGAGTATTACAGCAGAAGTAAAGTGAAAAAAAGAACTTTTCAAATTTTTATTGTATCCTCATCTACAGCTAAGCAGTGTAAGGCTTTTGCTTATATAGCCTGATCCATAAATCTCTATCTTGTGCCAAAGGCGTTCCTTATTTTGCCCTCCCAGGTCTTCCTAGGCCAACTCCTAGGTCTTTTACCTCCCATCTGTGTCTCATAAGTAAGCCTTGCTATACTATCTTCAGGCATACTTTTCTTTTGAATCTTGCAGACCCAGATTGGATCGGATAGTGATATTCTTCACTCGATCTCTCCTTGTTTTACCTTCGACCTTACAGAGGTAACACATCTCTTATTAAACTTGGCTCTTATGATTACCCGTTAAGGTCCAAGACTCACTTGAGTATTTCAGGATTGGTAGAAAAATGTTTTTGATTTTTTTTTTTTTAATTTTGGGAACCTCTTTCTTTCTTAAAAATCCTTTCCTAATTGAATTAAAGCACCTTCTGGCGGCCTTAATCCTCTCTCTTACATCTCCATCCACCCAGCCATTCTCATTCAAGTAGGCTCCTAGGTATTTGAAATCGCTTACCTGTTCTATCCGTGTTCCATCCGTCTAATGACACGGTCCCTCTGGTTGGTCCTTCTTCTGACCAACTTTTTAATCTCTCAAATCTCTGTTATCTGGTTGCCAGGCAACTCGTGGTGCTGTGCACACGCTTTAGCCCATTCGGCCACCCCGCCCCCTCACTCCTTTTGTATGCTCTCGTACTCCCATCCCTAAATGAAGCAATATATCACCTGTTCTTTTCTCTCCTTTTCCCTTCTTCTTGGCTTTAGTGATTCCCAATATATTTATTTTGAGTTTATCGACTTCCTCAGTTTATTCTATTTCGTTCCCATTCAATCCTATGACGTTCCATGTACAAAATCATATTAACTGTTTTCCGTGCAATATCAAGTTTTCAGTTATCTGATCGGCTCGATTTCTGTTTTGACTTTTCACATTTGTTTCTCGGACGAGCAGGTAATGGTCTTGCAGTGTCCAAAACCTGGGGATGGAGTTGCCTCCTCAAAGTTGACAGGCCAGCTATCGTCTGCTTCACAACTTGGATGGTAAACGGTCTCTACTGACCTGAAATAGTGCTTGATGGTTTTTTACTTGAAAAAACGATGTTAGATTCTATACCTAGAATATTGAATACATATTGCAAATATAGAAATTCAAAATTTTTATTTCAAGCTTGCTAAACACAGGGTCTTTTGCATAGGAAAAAGAAACAACAAGAAAATGTTTATTATTTGCCACCATCATGTTTTGTCATTTTGTAACATTGTATTGTTTTGCATGAACATTTAACTTTTGTTTTATGATATGTGAGGCATGTAACTGAAGATAGGCAATGCATGGTATAAATTATAATTTTAAGCTGGCTCATCAGGTATTTTTGATTTGGATGTGTTATTACATTGGAAGTTAAAATTAGCAGATTGTTCATGAAGAAATTGCTAATTTAAACAAAATAAATAATAGATACAAATATTTTATCTATATATTTTATATTTACTATCATATTTTATCTATACTTGAGTCACATAAAAATATGGGCACAATCATTTTTAATAATAAAAATAACTTGAATAGATTACATTCTTGACATTATTCCATTATATTTCATTTCTTCTCCTCAATTTTTCCCACAAGTAAAATAAAAAGTTGTTATTAATATTCGAATATTTTTTGGATACTTTATTCTCTCCTCCTTCAGAATATAATATCTCCCAATATTCTTAAGTAGATCTAGCTAAATTTCACTAATTGTAAGTTAGATCAATGACTTATTTATTTATTGGAATAGTTATTTAAAAAAGTGGTAATCTGAGAGCTGGCAGACGAAAAATTCATAGGCCAAACTTGGTAAATTTAGTTTAACTTGCCCAAAAATACTGGGGCATATTATATGCTGAAGTGGAGAGGAAAATATCTCTGAAATGTTTAAAGAGTAGTGAAATAGAATTAAAAACACTTTTGCACTCTTTTTTTTAGGAAATTGGGTACTCTTCTCGAAATCATTATGAATGTATTCATAAAATACATTATTGCAGGGCCAAAGATGTTCCTAGTTCATTATACCAACTTAAAAAAATATATATAAATATTACTGGTATTTGAATTGATGAGAGCTTTAAAAGATCATTTGTGGCTGCAACAATTTCATAATATTTTCTGATGAGTTTTACAGTAGAGTGCTGCCCTCTCATCGTAAACTGTAATGCTCTCTTTGTCTAAATATTGAGTACAATTATATCCATAAGTGCAGGAATTTTATCATTCTGTAGGATTACTTCATTGCTAAACAATGTAGAAGAGGGCATTGTGATTTCTAATAAAGTCATAATGTACAGTTCTGTATTGATTCTTCCTCTCTCTCTATGATCAATAAATCTATGGATAATGGAAAGAAATTAAACACACTCTGCATCATAAGCAGGCCATCTGCCTCTCAAGTGGCCAAATCTTAGTATGAAGGAACTGATTCTCTTTTCGGGGATGTAAAGAAAGAAGGAAGTTCTTAAATTATCAAAATTCATAAAAATATACAAGTAATGAGAATTCATCATAGTTAAAAATGACAGTTTATATTGAATATACATATTATAAACTATTTAGTTTTATATTATTTGAATGAATTTAATGCTTTATGTTTTTTCTCTAAACAGAAATTATGGCACAAAATCGAGCAGAAAAAAGCGATGACTCAGGTATGCAAACAAATTTGAAATTCATTTGTTCATTATTAGTGAATCTATCTTTACTTTATAATAAGGGGCAGTCCCGATTTTTAACAATTTGTCCCACAGTGTTTTCAAAAAGTCCCGATTTTCGGAAAGAATGCAGTTTAAGCTAGGAAACAGCAGGAGAACGGGAATAAAATATAGGATTTTAGGTGGCCACATTGCTATTTTGCCAGGATATGAGTTTTATATTATTTTTTTATTTTATAGTGATAAACTTTATTAATAATGAATAATTATTAAGAAATTGATTATCGAGAACTACTTAGCAAATTTCACATTGTTGATCAGATGCTAAAATTTGACCACCATTGTTTGGACTTAATGATAATAAATAACAGAAAAATGATCTTTTTACTGAAGTATCATTATTAAAAATATAAATTGATAAGGAAAAGTCCACTCATGGAAGCTGATGTTCCCCCTTCCTTCTCCATCTAGAGTACTTTCGAAGCAATACCAACCTTAGAGGTCTGCACTATACGTTTGGGTGTCTTCTTCTTCTCAAACATCTTAAGTAAAACCTTGGTGTTATCATACATCCCCATCAGATTCCTATGTCACTCTCAAGGTTCTTGATACTGGTCTTGGGGATCCTAAGGATTCCGTAGAATCCATTGTTTTCCACCTTGGCTCCCATCACCTGCCAGCTATCGACACCTGGGACCCTACCATTTTGAATCCAGAGTCTCATTGAAAATAGGTCATTTGGAATTTTCTCTTCAGAGAAGTATACCCTTCTTTTTTGAGCTCATCTAAACTACTAATGCAGATTTGAATACCTCACTGATAGAGAAGCTCTTTATCACACTGGAAATCCAGTTCTTAGTGGCCTGATCATTACAAACGATGATACAATTCTCTAGATGATGACTAAAGTCGCTGTACTAAGGGATAATGCCACCCATCTCCAGCTGATCAACAAAACTGATCACCTGCGATCTCACCTCCTCATCCTGCTCAGCTGAGTGGACGGGTATTCACAAGCGATAATCCCCATTCTACTGCCATCAATAGCTATAGCATCAAAGATTGCACCAGCATTCCCGCTTCTGTCCCTCTTTGCCAGAGGCATGGAGTTTCCGGGCTAGGACCTGGTGTGCTTCAGAACTGGCCCGGGCTTGCACAAACCGGTTTCTTTGCAGCTAAGGCTGGTGTACCCGACAGCGCAGTCCCAGGCTTTGCTTTGAGCCTCTTTCCTTCTCTGAGCACCAGAGAACTTTGATCTTGGTGTTACACCAGTAGCAGAAGATTTCATTTCCTTTTCTATCAATCTTATTTCCTCTAACAAATCCGTGTCCAATGCCAAGTAATTATCAGTGATGTCAGTCAGTTTTTTTAAGTTTTGGAGCTTATATATTTGTTCCCACGAATGGGGGTGGAAAAAGATCACTACATGTACATGGTACCTCAAATAGGTCAAATTGACATTGTATTTTTAAGCATCCCCTCTCACTCAGCCACGGCTCGAGCTCCCTAAATTTAGCTTAGGTGTATAAAAGGATCAACACAACTACCAAAAAGGTAGAAGTGAAGATCCTGCCTCTGTCGTCTTCGATTCCCATCAGACTTCCTGGGGAGAGGGGGGGGGGGAGTGGCATATCAAGGAAGTAAAAGTAGATGTTGATAGGGATAGTGAGGACTGGAAAATGACAGGCAGTGGGTAGGGCACTATTGCTTGATCATTCTGTAAGGAGTGGAAAAGATTCCTGCACACATCTCCCTCTCAAGCTCTGCTGTTATCCTACCAATTTGCCCCTCAAAAGCTTATGTTATTAAGATAGCAGTCGAACATCCTCATACTCATTGGTATCAGTACCATTAACACAAGGATTGATAATAAGATGAGCATTAGCATGTTTGTTTGCTATAATTAGCAAACCAGCATTTCTAGCATAGCATGGTAGTTTATCTAACAGTATTTAGGAAATCCCATTTATGAGGAGCATAAATATTATGATAATCATAATATCAATCATCTTAATCCATATTACCAACCATAATTATTTATTGTAATGACAATCAGATGATGATCTGAGATTTTAAGGTAATTTTAATGAAAAATTAATTTTTTTTTATTAATATTTTAGAAAATAAGACAGCTCTATTCAACAATATATCACCAGCTGCTTTTATATTTGATCCAACATTAAAACCTGTAAGTACAAATCAAGATTTCAATACATTATCTTTGTAGATAAACTTTATATAATTCTTGTATATATACATATATATATATATATATATATGTATATATATATATATATATATATTTTTTTTAATTCGATGTTAATGTTTCAAGTCCCTATTTATTGAACATACGAATTAAGCAATATTCTAGATTAGTTATGTCAGAGTAAATATTATTATTAAATAACCAAACATACCATACACTTTACAATTTTGACCCTTTTTTTTTTTGGTAAAAATATAAGTGATTCCAATTATCATTGATCTTGGAGAAGATAATAATTGATATAAATTAGGTATAGTCCGATCTCTATTTTGTCAACCATTAAACTTCACAGTGGCAGATACATACATACTTCATTCATACATACTTTCATGGAAACCTTTCACAGTTCCAATGTATGTTATTGATTTAATTTTTAAATTCATATCTTTCTAATTTTAGTGTATGTACCATCTAGGTGAGCATATAGGAATTTCCAATTCACAAGTAAAAACAATAATTTATAGTTTTGTTGTTTCCAACATTTTATACCATGATAGCTTGAGGAGATTAGATACAGCTATTAAACTATGTTTAACCAATAGATCACTGGATATGATGGGCCAGTGGTAGACTGCAAAGTATCTTCATGGAGTAAATGGGAAAGGTGTTCTGTGACTTGTGGAGAAGGATATAAGAGAAAAACAAGACGCATAATAGTTAGTAAATAATTTATATTTTTTATAAATTTTAATTATAAGATTAATTTGTCTTTTCTTTAGTACATTTGATAGCAGTAACTCTTATTAAAATAAAAAGCTATACCCACTAAAACCCTTGGGAGATTTTCAATTTGACTAACATCACATTCAACTACCAGGTTTTTCCCCATGATTAATTATTGAATTAAGAGTACCCACTTTATAGAGGATGGGTATGCTCCAGGAAGATTTACCAACTCCAGGGTCGACCCATGGTAATAAAATAAATAAATCCCTGCTTAGACCCTCATCCTAGACCCAGAGCACAATGAGTAACTCACTATCCAGTTCTTCATAATCCTTATTTATGACAGTTAATTTTTGGATTGCTTGTTTTTTATTTATGCACTTTTTCTGTTATCGAAAATATGATAAACTTTGGATGATTAATTTTCCTGATCATTGAGGAATTTTACAGCTCATATTGTAAAGAAAATTATATTAATTTAAGGATTACCAAAGAATGCCAGCAAAATAAAAAACATTCTCTTAAATATTAGATGTAGAATTTATTAAAAATAAAAAATAGACTTGAAACAAATAAATGCAAGATGTTTTTAAATATGTATGCAGTAATGTCAAAATCAATTTTTAATGTTCTTATAAACGGGACAGAGATAGATAAGTGGGTTAAGTTAATTGAATCCCCGCCGTAGTGGTCTAAGCAATCGACTAGGGCCTGGAGTTATTTATTTTAATTTATTATTATTAATTACTTATTTTTGTCCTATTTTTTTGTTATTAAGTCCTGCAAACAGGATTCAAATTCAAGATACAAAATTTTTGAAGGAGCATTAAATCACTCGACCACCGCGGCACTTAACAATGTAATAGACAATAGTATAAAATTTCAGAATCAAGTAATAAACTCTGATTAGAAATAAAAAGCTTCAAAAATAAGATAAAATAATTTTATATTTACTTTAAAGAAATTAATTTACTTCTTAACTTTTTTTTTATATTGAAATTTATTTTTTAAGCAAAATGCAAGGAATGGAGGAAGAGCCTGTCCAAGAAGGCTCTTGAAAACCAGAAAATGTAATGAAGGACCATGCTATACTGGTAAAATTATATATTTTACTATATTTAGAAACAAAATAGTTATCATTTCTCTTTAATATACTTTCTGTCTTTTTAGGTGAAAATTCAAACCAATTATCTGATTATGAGGATGACTCTCAGCAAACAGGTAATACCATCTCACTCTATCTATTTATTGAAACAGATTTATATGAAGTAGAAGTAGTTATCAGGGAGTTGGAAAGCAAAAAGTTGACATAACACCGAACAAAATGTTTTTAACAGTTTCATATCACCGATTCTTTAGCTATAGTATGTAACCAATAGTAAGAGCTCCCAATTTTTTTTTTTAAACTGTGTTGTAAAAATTGTTTTCTGAAATGCTAAAAAAATTAGGATGGCTGACTTTGACTAAGAAAAATGTAAGCTATCCTTTTGCAAGAAAAAAATGGTATGCAAATGAAATATTTTGTTTAATTACTGGCGACTATAATTAATCTGGGAGCTTATAGCAGTTATATTTAAATCATAATTAATACTGAAATATATATTTATGAATTAAGTTAAAATATTACTGATTATACTTGACTTTTAAGTGTCAATAGGACTAAGAAATGCTTTTCATTAAAGTTTTAGTTATTTCAATTTTAAGAAATAAATAGCCATATAAACAGCAAAAATAAGTTGTTTCACTATAAAAAAAGTGAAGTTTAGACAATGAAATCATTTATCCTATTCAGTATCTTCAAATATAATTTTACAAAAATTTATAAATTACTTTAACTTTGAATGTGACAAACTGATTACTGACAAGGGAGGGCCATCTCCGAAGCAGTTTTGAAGCAAAAATGCTCTAAGTGCTTAGCCTCAGATAGAGATAATGAGTTGTAATGAAGATGGCTAGGCATTCTTGAATAATTTGATCAACAGTTTTGAGCATTTTTTTTTAGTATCATATCATCTGAAATGTAATAAAAGTGATCAATATTTAGAAGAATATTATTTATTCATAGATTATTACTATTTATTTAATTTCTAAATTCTTATGTTCTAAATTAATCATGCAGATGATTGTGTCTACTCTGATTGGACTCCTTGGACACATTGTACACCCTCCTGTGGATTGAATTCTATCCAACGCCGGTCAAGAACTGTAATAAATCACCAGCATTTACAGAAATCATTTTGTGCTGATCGTGTTGAAACTAGAGTTTGTAATGTTTTGCCATGCATACATTAAGGTCATATTTTAATTCTTGGCATTGAAATGTTAAATAATGTATTTCTTATCGATCTCTATGTACTTACTCATTAAATTTTTTACAACTTATGATTAAGTGGGACAATATTAACTGAATGTATGTGTTGTACAGTAATTTAATGTTTGTAATGTAGTTCATTTAGTCTATTGTTAAAGACTTAAAATTTTTATGTAATGTTTTTATCAATGATGGACCATTTTATTACATATATGCTGCTATATTAAGTTTCTAACTATAACCAAACATCAGTTAATGGAAATTGTATTACTAATTCCATTTATTTTATCAGTACTAATGGGAATAAAAGTAATAATTGTATGAATGTTAGAATAGCAATATGGACAAGGTACAACTTTTTACATTTTAACAAAAATAATTCTTCTTCACTTCATTTGTAGTCAAAATATGAAATAATAATTTAAAAAAAGGGAGATATTTTTTTATTGTTTCAAGCTTAATTATTTATTATTATTAAACTTATAAAGTGGCCTTAACTTCTTGATTAGAATAAATGCAACAGAGACAATATTCCTTCTTGTTGTTAAGTTGATTTATAATCCACCATAGCAAGAGCGATAAAAGTATTCTTTGAACAAAGTTGCACCTTTTCCTATTTTCATTGATACTAATATTTTATTATAGGAGTTATGTTTTATATTTCTTGAAATATTAAGTTTAAAATGACCATACAATATTATGTAACAATTTTTTTCCTCCCCATTTTTTCTCGTTTAATTTTAACAGATAAATGTATTTAAAATTAATAATTTTGAGTAAAATTATTTATAGTTACTTTAAAGTGAGATTATATAGGAAGGTTATAATTGATCTGTAATTTCTTATCCTAGTAATAAATCATTGTAATCATTAATGGCAGTTATTTATTAACAATAAATTGCAGTGAATTCAAGACTAAGTTAGCATTATTTAAACCAATGAACATTTGGAAATAATAATAAACAGTTATAAAACCAATATTAAATAAAGGATTTATCATATTGCATATATA